TATCGGCTTTCCCTTGGACATACCGTAGAGAGAGCCCACGTTAATCCATAGCTCGACGCCGGGCGCAAAGTCCTGGTGTCCTGCTGCAAAGCACGCCCAATCTCCTGCCCTCCTGGTGCCCTTTTCGTTTCTACCCTCCTGAATTCCAATAGTGTGAATGCCGCTCCTATACATCTGAGTGCGGAGCGCAGCAGCACGGCGTGCTCGATTTCTTCACTTCGAGCCTCGCCGAAAAGCATGCCGCAAACTTTGCACGTTGAAAGTAGCAACGCGCATGTCTACAGCAACTTGTAACTTGCTGGTCCTGATGTCGCTGGCGTGCGGCTCTCGAAAATCCCCGGCCTGGGCGACGGGCCTCCAGCCTGGGAGGCTCACACACGCATTGCCGTACTCAACACTGGGGTACGCATGAGAGTCCCTCCCCGCGTCCAAGACCCATTCCCAGAGGCGCGAGTTTTCGATCCTGACGGCTTGGATGACTCTCCACGGTGGCTCGGGCGCCACAGGCAGGAGCTGTCTCGCTGTGGCTTTAGCCACATTGTCTGCTAAAACATTCCACGGATGGCCCGCGTGGGCCTTGACATGGGCGAGCTCAAGTGAGCGCTGCTTGGAGGCCAAACCCCAAACAACCTGCACAATCTGAGCTATTTTCCTGTCCGAGTTCGGCAGGCTTTGCCCAAGCGCTGCTCGAATTGTATCAAGCGAGTCGCTGTCCAGCGTGCAAGGATGCACTGGGCGCTCAACTATGGCTGCAAACAATGTCCATATCACCGCTATACACTCCAACGTAGTGCTGGTGGCCGAGCTCGGCTCAAGGTTCATTGCACTGCTGCTTGCAAGTTCGCCTCTTAAAACTCCCCCGTACATGTACCTCCCATCCCTTACCACTATTCTCACCACTGCCCATCCCCCCATCCCCTCCCCTTGTTGGTAGAGCGAGCCGTCGGTAAAATAGTGGACGGCGGAGATGTCGCCGATCCCGTCGTCGGGCGGAAAAGCACGCAGGGCAACAGCAGCCTCCTCCTCTAACACCCCTGTGCTCTGCAACACTTCAAGCGTTAGTACTTCAAAACAGATGCTGCTGCCTTGCAGTGCTTCTCTCAACGGTGCCAGCGCGGGCTGACTCATGCTAAACTGGCTTTGGCTCGGGAAACTTCTGGCGATGGACCCGTGGGTCCTCACGCCGTCTGCCGTGCTCAAATCCGAGGTCTGCGATGCAAGTGTCGAAGGAGACCGTCGATGCCCCGATGTCTGCCCCCTGACTGCACCACTATCGCTGCATGGCGCAGGTCAGCCCGCGCCCTGGCCAACGCGCTGCCTGAGATAGGTATTACTGGAAAAAGCTGAAGCTCCGAATGAGGTATCATCCCCAGACTGTTGCTTAATTATTTGACAAGATCTAGTCAGACAATCCTTGCCCCCCAAGATTGAAACCTGACGCGGCACTTCCCTACCTATTTCAGCGTTGCATTATAAGGGAGACGCTTGTTCTAACTGTTTGGCCCATCTCACCTGCTTACCCCTCAGGCGCCGCCTTTGCCCCCCCACCTTGGGGGCCTTGGCCGCAGGGCTGCGCGGTTGCGGCGAGTCCGCTGCCGCCGCTGCCCGCGTCATCCTCGCCGTCGCCCCCCTCGTAGCCGTCGACTTCGATGCCGTCGAAGCCGCAGAGGAGCTGCTCGCGGCCGTTGGTGCACTGCTCATCGCACTCGGACAATCGCCCGTATGCGCTGTACACGCCTGGTCTGTCTTCTCTATCTCCTTCTGTACCTGGGGGTCCGTCATGTCGCCATCTTGAGACGCCGCCAACACTGGCTCCTCCTTCGGCTCGATCTTCGTCAAGCTCTCCTTCGGCGCCGCCGCCGTCAAGTACGGGTCCTCCTGCGTGCCCCCTGCCCGCGGCTCCGTAGGCGAGATTGGCGACGGCGCTGGTGGCATCTCGATCTCCTCCTTCTTGAGCTCCTCCATCGGCGTGGCCGCGGCCTCCGTCGGCGTGAGAAGCTTCTCCTTGCGCGCCGTCCTCCGCGCAGGCGGTGTGCCTTGCGCTGGCGCGAAGGACTGCGCTGAGGCTGGTGTCTTCGGCATCGCAATCGGCGTCGAGCACCCTCCTACTGGCGTCTTGCCTTCTGGTGCGCGCGGCGCTGGTGAGGCCGCTGGAGGGGCCGCCGCCCCCCCAGCGGCCGCAGTAAACCCCATGGCCTGCTGCTGCCTCTGCTGGTTCTGCTGCTGGCCCGGGGCGCTGTTGATCCACGAGACTAGGTTCGACATGATCTCCCCTTGCCTCGCCTGCCTCTGGTCCATCATGTGCAGAAATTGCAGTAGTCCTGGATCGTGCATCTGCTGACCCACCTGGCTCTGCTGCGGCGGCGGGTCCATCTGGCCCTGCTGCTGCTGATGCACTCCCTGCTGCCCATTCTGCGGCGGCTGGTCCGTCATCTGCTGGTCGGCCTGCTGGCCCATCTGCTGGCCCATCTGGCCCATCTGCTGGCCCAGCTGGCCGTGCTGATGCTGCTGATGCTGCTGGCCAATCACATTCTGCTGTCCACCAACCGCTCCAAACTGGGGTAGGTGCCCATGCATGTAGGCAGGCTGCTGGTGTACCACGTACTGGTTCGGCTGCTGCTGCTGCTGCTGCTGCTGCTGCTGCTGCTGTGGATGCTGCGATCCAGCAAAGCCCCATGCGTACTGCGGCGGCGGCCCAAAGGGGCCTGTCAACCCTCCTGTGCCTGCCGCTGTCACTGAGGGCGGAGCCGCAGGCGCCATGAGCGGGTCGTCCGCAGGCGGCTCGTCTGGCATCTGCTCCAGCTCGTTCATGCAGCTCTGCAACTGCTGAATCTCCAGCTCGATATCCTTCTCCTGCTCGGCTAAGTCCTTGAGCCTCGAGACCGTGTTGTTGAGACGGTCCTTGGCCCGATCGAGCCTGCCCCTGACCTCGTCGCGCTGCTTCCTCACAGGCACTAGGGAGGCCAGGCACGTCTTCATCACCACCAACTCCATGTCGTGCTCGTTCGCTGTGTCCGTCTTGCCCGCCTTGCGAGCGTATATCGCCTTGCTCGCCACGTTGAGCAGCTGGTCCTCCAGCTCCTGCTTCCACGCTGGGATCTCCTGCTGCCTCATCGGTGTCGGGCGAAAGGCTGAATGATTCGTTACCGCGCGATATGGCATGGGTGGCAACTTCTGGATCTAGTTCCTGATGTGCTGCTGCTCTCGCTGTCGTTCTCTCGCCGCGCTCTGGCTTCTTGCCCGTGCGCCTGCTCTGGGATTGTCCGTCCAGGCTTGCCCACAGAGGCAATGACGATGCCAGTTGTTGACCATCTTTCCGCACTTGCCACATTGCCACTTGTTGTTCATCTCTATCCGATCCTGAACTTGAGCGCTGTGATGCTGGGAAAGAAGCCGATACGATCGGTCTAGCGCCACAAGCAGCCGTGCCTGATGACGCTTGGCGCGCTCGCGCCGATGCCGAGCTGGCTCGGTATCACGCGAGAATAAGAGAGAAGAAATATCTGATGTCACGGTGCCTTCCGTAGGCGCGCGTGTGGGGCCGGGCCTGTAGAGTGAAGAAAGAACGCAGGTTGCAGTATCGGATCTGACCTGCGGGCGGTTTAGGCCAAACCCTCTCCTCCTCCTCCTCCTCCTCCTCCCCCTCCTCCTCCTCCTCCTCCTCCTCCTCCTCCTCCTCCTCCTCCTCCTCCTCCTCCTCCCTCCTCCTCCTCCTCCTCCTCCTCCTCCTCCTGCTCTTCCTCCTCCTCCTCCTCCTCCTCCTCCTCCTTCTCCTCCTCCTCTTCCCCCCTGCTGCTCCTCCTCCTCCCTCGTCCTCCTCCTCCTCCTCCTCCTCGTCCTCCTTCCTGCTCCTCTCCCGGCTGCTCCTCCTCCTCCTCCCTCCTCCCCTCCTCCTCCTCCTCCTCCCCTGCTGCTGCTGCTGCTGCTGCTGCTGCTGCTGCTGCTGCTGCTCCGCTTCCTCCTCCTCCTCCTGCTCCTCCTCTTCTTCTTCTTTCCTCTCCTCCTCCTCCTCCTCCTCCTCCTCCTCCTCCTCCTCCTCCTCTATTTCTTTTCCTTATAAGCAATTTTTCCCTGTCGCACTCTGAGGCCCGTCGAAAGGGCAGGCCGGGCGTTTCGCCTGAGACTTCCTCACCATGACTGGCCCTAAAGTTTGGAATTTAGCAACAGTTTCGCAGGTGGGCGGCGGGTCGTTTTCAAAATGTGGTTCTCGCTTTGGCGCCGCGCACATTCGTCTTAGCAAATTGCATGAGTTTCACGGATTGAGGGCGGTTCAATTTCAAATGTGGCTCTCGCGTTAGCGCCGCGCTCATTCCTGTTAAAACCGCAAGAGTTTCACGGATTCCCACGGCCAACGTACCAGAGATGTTTTTTGGAGAGATTCGCGGAGTTGGAATCCCAGGAGTGACGTTTTGGCACGATTCATTCAGGACTGTCACGACGCAACAGTCAGGTTGATCCGTGGCGTTGGAGTCCCGAGGAAACTGTTTTGGTATGCTTCAGGGTTTTCAAACGGTTGTCTTCCAACGAGGCAGTTCATGCAGTGAAAATGAGTTTTTGTAGGGGCCTATGAAGAGGGAGCTTGGAGGGAGGGTTTATTCCTATTCCAACATCGTTGATGACTCTTGGGTTTACACTGTTCCCTTCTCCTCCTCCTCCTCCTTCTCCTCTTCCTCCTCTCCCTTCTTCTCCTTCTCCTTCTCCTCCCTGTGCCGCTCCCCCTCCCTCTCCTCCTCCTCCTCCTCCTCCTCCTCCTCCTCCTCGCCAGACAGGGTCCCGTCCGATCCGATCGATCCGATTCGATGTCGGTCTTGGCGGGCCCGATCTGGTCCGATTCCGATGCTCCGACGATCCAATGCCGTCCGAGGCTTGCATTACGCTGTTGTGCATCCAGGCGCGGCCAATCCGATTCGATTCCGATTCCGAGCCGATGCGGTCCGATTCGATGCACGTTCCGATCCGATCCGATTTCCCGATTCGATGCTGATCGTTCTTGCCGAGTTGCCAGAGGAGTCGGGCGACGAGGGGGTGGCCCGCTGTGCGCGCTCCATCCTGAACAAGCTCACGCTGGAGCGGTTCGCAGGGTAGGGCAAGCTGAGGCAACGGCGAGTGGCCCTGGGGGGGGCCCCTTCGTCGCCACGGCTGGACGCAGCTCGGAATGCTCATGCTACTGGGCCCCGGGAGGGTCCGAGGACCGACGTTGCGCTGCCGCTGTCTCCGCTCCGCCCTGCTCCGAGGTTCGACCCCCTCTACGAGCAGCTTGCTGGCTGCGGTGTCAGGACGCCTGCCCACGTGGCGGTCCTGATGCGGGAGATCCACGAGAAGGCCACCAGCCAGCACCTCTTCTCGGGCGTCGCTAGAAGTGCCCCTGGCCCAAGGTGCCCCCAGCTTCCCGCACCGGTCAGGAGCCACTGGGGCCTTCTGGGCCTCGTGAGGGGGTGCCCTGGAGGCCGTCTGGGCCACCCCGAGAATCCTGGGGGCGCCTTGGGCCAGGGGCACTTCTAGCAACACCCGATCTTCGCCGGCATGTACGCCGACCTCTGCGCTCGCCTGGAGAAGGACCCGCGCGTCGCGCCCGCCGTGGACTCCCAGCAGCATGCCTTCCGCCGCCTGCTGCTCAACGAGTGCCAGGCCGCCTTCGAGCGGCTGCTCGAGCCGCAGGCGGAGGGCGGCCCTCAGGACGACGAGGCGCTCGCCCTGCGCAAGCAGAGGGCCCTGGGCAATGTGAAGTTCGTCGGGCAGCTCATCCAGGGGAGCGAACAATGACATGAAGATAAGAGCTCGGAGGTGCGTGCGGATTTCTCGGATCCGCGCGGAGCGCGCCAGGGGCGGCGCCGATCTGAGAAGTCCGCGCGGACTTCCGAGTCATTATGTTTATGTCATTGCTCGTTCCCCTATCATCGTCCGCGGCATGTTGAGCGCGAAGCTCCTGATCACCTGCTCCGAGGAGCTCCTCGGGCGCTGGCAGAGCTGCGGGGACGCCCTGGAGTCCCTGGCGGCGCTCCTGACCGTGGCTGGCCCGACGTTCGACGTCGAGTCGTGGGCACTGAAGCAGCAGGTGTTGGATTAAGCCGGGCGTGTCCCTCTACAGGAGGAATATTCAAACATATTTGAAACATCGTATGGGGACGATTTTTTTGGCGTATTTTTGGGACATGTTCTTGCTTAGGTTTGGACTTTTGTTTCCAACATCCGGTAGGAGGACAACACCAGCACGTGTTGTCTCTACCGGGGGCAGATGATCCCAGATCTTTGCGCTGGTGCTGGAGGGCAGAGCCAGCCTACCTGCTTCCAGGAAGGAGAACAGTATCTCGGGCCAGTGCCAAAAGCCGTTCCCACTTTCTAGCCACAGTCGTCGATAGACATGTTGGGTGTCGTTGCGTCTATAGACGCATTCGGGTGGACACGTCCACAAACAACGCGGCCGTTGCGTTCGACGCAGCACAAGGTGGGAGAAAGGGTAGATCCGATCCGTCTACGGTATGTTCCTGTTCTGGAGCAGGCCCCACATGGCACTCCAACGGTGGTGGTAGTCCTTCGGCCACCTGAGAAGCCTGAGTCTTACCTCCACCACCACCACCAACACCGAGATCGGGATCGTCCTCCCTCGGTGGAGGCACCCGCCGCTGTTGGCGATGGTGCCGACCTGCGAGCCTCCCGAGGTGGACGCCATCTTCGCCCGCGTCGGCGAGCTCGTGGCGACGCCCGCCCTGCCCGCGCGCACGCGCTTCCTGCTGCGCGACGTGCTCGACCTGCGCTCGGCCGGCTGGCCCAGCCAGGCCGGAGCCGCCACGAAGCGCCCGGAGCCAATGACCCTGTGCCAGGTCCGAGGGGCCGAAGGTGAGGAGGAGGAGGGGGGGGAGGAGGAGGAGGAGGAGGAGGAGGAGGAGGAGGAGGGAGGAGGAGGAGGTGGAGGAGGAGAGGAGTGAGGAGGAGGAGGAGGAGGCGTCACAGCAGGCGGCGGAGGACGACGGGGGGGTAGGGGAGGACCACATGACCCTGGGGCAGGTCCGCGGGTCCGCAGGCTGCACCACGGTGCCGCCAGCCGCCGCCGCCGCCGCCGCGGCGCGGGCGGACGCCGAGCCGTGCCCCGACCGCGGCAGCCTGCGCGCCGCCGCGGCAGAGTTCACCCCGCTGGCGAGGTGCGGCAACCTGCGCAGCGCCGCGGCGGAGTTCACCCCGGCGGCGCAGCGCGGCAGCCTGCGCGCCGCCGCGGCAGAGTTCATCCCGGCGGCGAAGGCCCCCTCGCCGGCCACGCCCACGACCGCGACGCCCACGTCTTCCGCGCCCGCGTCGCCCAAGGTGGCCCCGAGGTCGGGCGGTCCCTCTGAGCTGGAGCTGGCGTCGAGGCCCTTCAGCGTGCGCGACTTCCACCGCGAGCTCTCGGCCGTCATGAAGGACCTCGGCGTGGACCGCAATGTGGGGGTGGCGGTGCGCAGAATCCGCGCGCAGAACGTTCCGAAGACGCACCAGGCCAGGGAGTTCGCCGACGTGCTGACCCGGGCGGCGGAGGAGACGCTGCCTCCTCCTCCTCCGCCCCTCCTCCCTGGAGGCCCGAGATTCTGAGATTCAGGCTCGTGCTGCTTCCTGGAAGCTGCTCCTCCATGCAGGAGGTTGTTTTTCCGACCCCCCCTCGCATCCCTAGGTTTAGGTCGGGCGTTTCCTCCTGCAGGCGGATTTTGGACGACAAACTCACAAGAGTCCATAGCCAAAAATTTACAACAATAGTCAAACATCGTCCCCAGACTATTTTTTCGCCAATTTGTGAACCTTCCTCCTGTGGAGGGACTTGCCCGCTTAACCACAGATGTTCGACCGTGGCCCAATGTTTGGGCGCAGCCCTCCGGCTTTCGCGCAGGCGACCGCCGCAGACTCGGGGGCCCCCAAACCGGGCGGTGGCTACACCGTGTGGTGAGTCGCTGGGGATTCGGGTCACCGCGCGGTTTTGGGAATCGGATCGTTCTCCGAGGACGTCTCGGGCTACTGGGGCATCCGAGGTCACCAAACCGTGCGTTGACGGAGCGTGCGGTGAGGTCTTGTGGATTGCGAGGTCACCGCGCTGTCTGTCACCGCACCGTTTCGGGACTCCAAGCAGACCGCCGCGAACTGCCGGAGACCCGGATACGAGGTGGGACCCGTAGATTACCCATGCCAGGCCAATCCAGATTCTGGGAGCGGTAAACCGATCCCCGAAGGGGAAGAAAGAGGTTTGTAGAGTTTACTCTTTCAGCTCTATATATATATACATGTATATATATATATATATCCGCTCAAATGCCAAAGGGCTTCTGGAATTGATGTGATGCCTCCGCCTTTTTTCCCCGCCTCCGCCCTCCTTCTTCCTCGGATGCTCAGACGCACTCGCGCTCAGACCTTTCATTCATGTCCAGACTCACTCATATTCAGACTGGCCCATAATAACTCAGACTGTGTCTCAGGCTCACTCACACACTCACCCACATCAAGAGTCATTCACACGCAGACCACGCATACTCAGTCCCAGTCAGATGCATTCTGACTCATTCATTCGCAGACTCACACTCAGACTCGCTTTACTTAGGCTCACTTCTACTCACACTCGGATCTGCCCATACGTGGCCATGGCCGATGTAGCAGGCATGGCATTCGGGCCTCTTAGCGGGGAGCCACTGGGGGGTATGTCACGGCCCCGCTCGTTTTTTTGTGTTTTGTTTGTTCGTTTGCTTGTTTGTTTGTTTGTTTGTTTGTTGGTTTGTTTGTTTTGGTTGTGTGTTTGTTTGCTTGTTTGTTTGTTACTGCTGCTGTTGTGGTTGAACCGTAACTGCTAAACAAATCTTATGGTTGAACCTCCTGGATCCGCTTTGGCGGTCTCGCCCGGGCGCTGGCTGCATTTCCTGTGAAATCGAGGCTCACGCTCAGGCGTTTCGAGGGTGTGCCGAAACCGGCCCCCCAATAGCAGCAGCGCTCTCGCTCGATATGTAACCAATGTGTTTTTCTATTCGAGTGCTTCTCCCGGGGTTCGCCCCTTTTTATATTGATACATGGGGAAAGAGGTGTCACCAAACTGCGCCCTCTGCCCCCCGTTTACAACAACAACGGCTCCCGCTTGATATGTCCTCAGAAGTTATTCCCAAATCGCGCTCTCGCGCGGGACTTCGTCACAATGTTTGCCGACATCGCGCTCTCGCGTGGGATCTCTCGACAATTCATTCAAACGCCGCGCCGTTGACACTTAGAAATCACGCTCTCGCTGTGGATTTCCCTTCGATTCAGTTGGGAATCGCGCTATCGCTCGAGACGTCCTCGCGGTCCATGCATGACGCACGCTTCAGGAATCCGCCTGTTCGACCTGGCCGCTTGGGCCCGCCTTCCCGACCAGCCCGTTAGGGCCTACCCGTCCGATCCGCCCGTCTGGTTTTGCCACCTGCTTTCTGTTCCTAGCCCCCCTCCTGCTACTCTCCCTCGTGCTTCATCCTCCTCCCTCCCCCGTGTTCCTTCCTTCCTTCCGTCTTCTCTTCGCCTGCCTCTGGGGCTGCACACAATACACGTTGCAGGCAAGAAAGATATACCGCCAAGGGGGTACGATCGAAGACGAGCAGGGCGGGTATCGAGGGTTTGGGATATACGTGTTGAGTGGCACGCGAGCAGATAAGAACGCACAATATTAAACATATTGTTGTTGTTGCTGTTGCTGTTGCGGCTGCTGTTGCTGTTGTTGTCGTCGTTGTTGTGAATGTTGCTGCTGTTGTTGCTGGCTGTTGCTGCTGTTGTTGTTGCTGTTGTTGTTGCTGGCTGCTGTTGCCGCTGTGGTTGTTGTTGTTGTGGCTGTTGGTGAGGTTGTTGTTGTTGTTGTTGTTGTTGTTGTTGTTGTTGTTGTTGTTGTTGTTGTTGGTTTTTGTATTGCTTTTTGCCCAGTGCGCGGTCCCCCAAATCCATACCTTTTCCCCACGGTCAGCTTTTCATCCCGGGCCGTTTCTTGACGGTCCCAGGGCCCTAGGCCAAAAGCTGGCAAGCTTCTCCTCTCTGTTTTCCCCCCCAAGAAGCTGAGCGTCTGGGTCTTAATCTCCTGACCCTCGATCCTTGGCCTGGGTGGCTTGCAGTCAGGGGCTTCGGCTCAGCGCGTCGCGCCGCCGGTTGTGGCCCACCACGTCTCGGCGCGACATGCCAACCACAAGGGCTCCCACGAGGGCGCGAAGTTATTCGCGGTTCGCGCTTCGCGGTCCTCGTTCCTTCTCCCCCTCCTCCTCGTCCTCCTTTTCTCCCTTTGGGGGGGCGGCGCGAGAGCGCGAAGTTATTCGCGCTTCGCGCTTCGCGGAGCGCGAGAGCGCGAAGTTGGGAGCCCTTGCAACCACGTCCCGGTCCCCGAGCGTCAGCGTTGCCAGCCTTCCTGGCCTCCCGCCGCGCGGGGTGGAGCGACACGCCATCCGCTCGCGGGGCACGGCGCGTCGCTGGGGCCGCCCTCCGCGGCACGCGGAGCCGAAGCTCCCGACCGCAAGCCTCTGCTCGGCCCCCCCGAGGAGAGCCGCGGACCCGTGCGTCGCTCCGCCTTTGCGTTCGCGGCCGGCCTCGCGGCCTCCGCCTCGGACAGCGCCTTCGGCCGCGAGGAGTGCATGGCGGGCGTCGAGGCCTTCTTCGGGGAGGCGCCAGGGGGGAGTCTCCGTGTGGGACGCTGCAGACAGGTCGGTGGTTCAAAAATGGGGTCCTGAGGGGTGGGGCCCTGAGGGCGAGGTGCTTCAAAGCGCTGTAATAAGTCCACCCTTGACTCCCTTCCTATCCTTAGGACCACATCCCTCAGGACTCCATCTTTGCACCACCGAAGAAGGTGCGGACCCCAAGAATCTACTTTTTGGGCTGCGGGTCGAAAGCGAGCCTCTTCCGGTTAAGAGCTAGGCGGGCCGCGCAAAGCACTAATTGGGGAGACAGGGCGCGGGCGGGCGGGGCCTCAGGCGGCCGGAGGGCGTGGGGTGGAGGCGGTGCCGAAGAGCTTGCACAGGAAAAGGTACGCCTTGGACAGGAGCCGGAGGCGAAGTCCCGGAGGGAGAGCGAAGTGGTGTTGCCGTCGACGGCGCGTCAAAATCACCATCCTCGAGTGCTGTGTGCGGAAGGACGTAACCAGGTCGACGTCTGGGGGGTAGAGGTAAGCCAGGTAGGCGAAGAGCAACAGGTGCCACCAACTGGTGAAGAGAGGCCCAGGAGATGAGGAAGACCACGAAGACGATGTGCATCGTTGTGCCACCGGGTGGTCGGTAGCGGCCTGGGGTGGTAGTCCAATCCGCATCCAGGAAGCAGCCAGGAGGTGCGGCGAGAAGCAGGGCCGTCTGTGTCCGCAAGGCCGAGGGCCGGGCCTGAGCCGCGCTGCCCAGGGGAAGCGGGGCCGCCGAAGCGGCAAGGTGCAGTGCCAAGCGCCGGGCCGGAGCCGCGCTGTGCCGGGCGCCGCCGCCATGAGTCCCCAAGAAAGTACACCACCACGTCGATTCTTCCTCTCCCCTCCTCTACCCTCTCCTTCCTCTCCTCTTTCCTGGGAGAGGGAGGGGGTTAAAGAGGTGGTGGTGGTGGTGGTGGTGGTGGTGGTGGTGGTGGTGGTGCATATGTTTGGGCCCCGTAAGAGGGCTGTGCCCTTGAGGAGTCGAGGGCGGTGGCCTCGTGTGCTCCTCGGCGGAAAAGGGGTGGCGGATGGCCGGCGCAAGTCAACATCTGCGGCGACTCCGCGGGCGGAGGTCGGCGGAAGGCTGGCAGCGAAAACCTCGCCCCCAAGACTTAGAGGAGGAGGAGGAGGTTGAGGAGGAGGAGGAGGAGGCGGAGGAGGAGGGAGGGAGGAGGGAGGAGAGGAGGAAGGAGGAGGAGGAGGAAGAAGAGAAGAAGGAGGAGGAGGAGGAGGAGGCGGTGGAGTAGGAGGTGGAGGAGGAGGAGAGGGAGGATGAGGAGGAGGAGGAGAAGGAGGAGGAGGAGGAGGAGGAGGAGGAGGAGGAGGAGGAGGAACCGCGTCCTGCACCGATCCAGCGCGTACCGCTAGGTATGCAGCCTTTTCTGGTGCAGCTGAGGAGCTGCACAAGGCCAAGCTTTTGGGCGTGCGCGACATCGCGCACCACTGTGGTTGCTCGCTTGCCCTCCCCATACGTAAGACCAGCCATGACACCAGCCAAAGAGAATGGTCAACATGGGGGAACACAAACTGATTTTCTGGAAAACATGGGTGCCCGCCTCCAGGACGTCTTGGGGCTTAGGATAGGCAAGGAGAGCTTCGCCAAGACCACCAAACGCCAGCAAGTTGAGGGTTTTCTGAAGGCCAAGCTTGAAAGCTCCCAAGAAGACCAGGACCAGACGGCCATAGAGGTTAGGGACATCCAGATGCAGGCCCAGCAGATGGCCCCCCCCCCCCCCAGGACGCCCTCAAGGACCTGACTAAGAATTGTAAGACTCTGCGAGATCGAGCCGATAGTGAAGCCTATCGTTCCAAACGAGCTGGTTTCCAGGGTTGGCTCTCTCAGAGCCTCCGAGGGGGGGGTGGGGGGGGCAAGTGGGCTCACTGGCACGCCAAGACCTGGGGCCATCCTGACACCATTCCAGCCCAAGAGCTGGACTCGAAAGGAAACCCACTCTGGGACCCCGCGGAGGCTCTGGAGATCAAGCAGACCCGATGGCAGGCACTCTGGAAGGGCCCTGAAGGCCGTATACATCCAACCACAAGGTTGGTGGCAAAATTCTCTGCAAAACGCTCAGGCCCAGGCAGACGAGCTCCCAGAGTTTCAAGTCCCGCAGGTCTTAGCAGCTTGCCAGGCCTTCCCTTGCTCCATGGGCATGCGGGCCGACCAGTGGAACCCCAAGCTTTGGGCCGACTTGCCTGAGGAAGCTCACAACGAGCTAGGCGCGCTCCTCCAGGACATTGAGCGCATGTGCGCCTGGCCAGAGCAGATCCTGTTGAATGAAGTTGGCATGCGTCCCAAACCCTCGGGGGAAGGAGGCCGACCCATCACCCGTGCCCAAGGGCTATGCCGAACATGGTCCCGATAGAGGAAAGAAGCCGTTACGTCCTGGGGGAAGCAGAAAGCAGGGCTTTGGGATGTAGCTGCGCGGGGCTCCGACCCTTTCAAAGCGGCGCTTCTTCGACGCGCGAAGGCGGAAGCAGCGAGTTGGATTTCCGTTGACTGGGCCGCCCTCCTCTTGGATGCTGAAAGGTTTTCGATGCGCTGAGCCCTTTCTGGGACTACATCCTCGGGGAAGCTCTGGGCTGCCCCCTCCACGCCATGTTCATGTGCATGTGCGTGCACGCGGCAGACAGGGTGCTCGCGCTGGGGCGAGAGGCGTCAGGCTATATCACGGTCGAGCGCTCCATACTTCAGGGATGCATGCAGAGTGTTAGCTTGGCGCGCGCATATCTGCACGACATGTTAGATCATGCCCGTGCACGGCATAGACCTATGGAGGTCAGCGCGCGGGTTGACGACATCTCTCTCTCTCTCTCTCTCTCTCTCTCGCTCTCTCTCTCTCTCTCTCTCTCTCTCTCTCTCTCTCTCTCTCTCTCTCTCTCTCTCTCTCTCTCTCTCTCTCTCTCTCTCTCTCTCTCTCTCCTCGAGGGGCCCCAAAGTTATCGTCCATAGGCTGACCGCCCAGGGTGCCGCGGATTTGGCCCACCAGATGAGAGCCTGAGGTCTCCGTCTCTCAGGGAAATCCCAGCTCCTCGGCAGCGGCGCCCTCCTGGTCAAGAGGATCCACAAGGCACTCAAGGAAGCTGGTATCCACGTCCAGTTGGCCACTCAGACGAGAGACCTCGGACTAGATTTTGCATCAAGAAGGCGGTCCACGCAGGTCGCCAAAGGCCGGCTGAAAAAAAAAAGGCTTTCGCCAGGGCCGAGCGGGCGAAAAAGCTCTTGAAAGCTGATGGGCAAGCCGGCGCGCTCAATCTCACTGGGGTTAAGCCGCAAGCTTCTTGGGGAATGATGGCCCAAGGGGCCTCGCCCGCGGCTCTTAAGCAGCTGCGGTCCAAGATGGCCGCACTGATTGGCAAGCAACGAGCTGGCGGGTGAGCGACAGTGGCAATGCGGCTCGGCCCCGGCAAGAAAGGCGACCCTATGTTTTTCGCTCGCCACGACGCGGTCAAGGCTCGGCTGCGCATCCCCCCATCCCCCCCTCATGCGCGAGAGGGTCGCTTCCCAAGCCGCCTTGACCAACTGCGTCGAGGCGACGAAGGCTGCTGTGCACCCGTGGGGCAAAGTCAGAGGTCCCATGGCTGCCCTAGTTGCCGCGCTTCTCCAGAATGGGCGGGGCCCTTAGCCCCCTGGCAGTGGAAGGGCCCCGGCGGAGACGCCTGCTACTTGGTTCCCGACGAGGCCCCACCAGAGAGAGAGCCCACTTCTATGTGGAGGCGGTCTCGGGCTCTATCCCAGGTTGGCAGCGGCGCGTTCTAGCTGAAGTGGGAGGCGCATTCGAGCAGCAGACCTGGAGGGACTTTGCCGCTAGACACTTTTGCGGCAGAGGTCTTGGGCACGGTGCCGACCTGACTGCGCTCTTAAGGCTCGTCCGTGCCCATCGGCGTGGCGCCGTGGACATGCAGCGCTGCTCGAGCGCATAGCTACAGGGGCCCGGTGGCCAGGAGATCGGCGTTTCCCTGACGAGCCTGATCGACAAACATGCCCTCGGTGTATTGCTGCGCGCCTCCACGCTCTGCCCGTCGAAAAGATTCTACATCAACAGTGGACGTGCCCATGTCTTAATGCAACAGAGCACGCAGCCTTTGACCTTTTTATCGCAGGTGCAGGGCGAACGTGAAGAATGGGCTTGCTTCTGGCATCGTGGAATCGTTCCGATTCTTTGGATGTTCCCGCACATAGACAAGTTCCCAAAACGGACCTTTGAGTGCCTTGGCGGGGTTGTTTAGGACCAGCGTCTTCAGTTTTCCCCAGCTGCTCTTGTAGGTGCCGATGGAAGCGGGGGCGGCCGCGCCATGGCCCGAGGCCCGTAGATGTGGCTGGGGAATGCCACGTGGTCCCAGGATGCCATCCTTGGGGAAGCCCGGGGCCCTCTCCTCGGTAGGCGCCAGACGGTGCCCTTGGCGGAACTCGAAGGCCTCGCCCAGGCCTTCAAATGCGCCGCGGGACCAGCCACCTTTGTTGTAGATCGCGCTTAAGTTTTGGAAAGAAAACCATGCTGGCCCAAGCCGGGTCCCGCCCCTGCACGCCGCAACATGGGCTCGTTTCTGGCGCGAATTCATCGCTGGGCCAGCGGAAACGCGGTCTATCACACTTAAAAGTCATCTCGCCGAGGCTGACATGGGCCGGCTTGTCTCCGAAGGCGAATGCAGATGTAGCGCGGCTGCTGATGAGGCAGCTAAGAGGGGGCTGTCCTTGCCCAGCTCCCCCCCGAATCTCTAGCCGAGGTTGCGCTAATCGATTCCCTGGCCAAGAAGGCCGTGGAGCACTTGCTCGAGGTAGGTATGGCTGAGGTCCTGGCCGGGCAGGCTGGCGCGAAAGCCCCAGGAGCCCCAGCCCCAGCCGATCTCGCTGCCGCCCGCAGGGGGCGGCGTGATGTCCGAATTGCTGCGCGGATGGGCGCCCGCCAAGCTACCACTGACCACCCTCTGCGCACCCCCCGTGGTGTCGAGAAAGTGCCATTCCTGCCACGATCAGCGAGCGCGTCACGGATAG